AGTGCCATGAAATCTCCAAGAATGTTTGAAAGAATCTAAAACAGTTCAAAGTGGTTAACAGAGCTACATTTAAAGTGAAGTTTGTTTCCTTGATGAATTTCAGGAGTTTCTCTCAGATCTTTATCTAAGATCTGCACTTCTGTCAATCTGAGCTGAAGAAGCAAACAGACAAAGATCTTATTTCCTGTAAACTGAGCAAAAACACAGAGCAATAAAAAAAAAAAAAACTTGATGTAACCACAGGAAGGGGAGGGTTCACCTCTGTGATAAAAGACTCATCTGAATTCACAGAAAGTGTCAGGAACAATGAGATCAACATCCTCCACATGGCTGCTCTGTGAGTAAGAAATGTCATATTTACACTATTTCATTTAAAGCAGGCTGTCAGATATGAGAAACGATGGAGAATATTCATCGATACATAATTATCGATTATCTGATGTTTTCCAAAACACATTATAAGCAGGAGCGAGATCCGACCTTTAGGCTCCAGGAGACTCAGAGATCAAAGAAAGACGGAACAAAGATGGCAGAAGGGAAGAGTCACACCTGTATCATTCGGCATTTAGTGTTTTTCTCTTTAATATGATGTATTTATTGTTGTAAAAAGCCAGATTTAGGCCAGTCAGTCAGTGGGACATGATGAAGGTCTGATGTGAAACGATAACATCTCCAACCTGCCATCAAGCAGAGATCACGTCACATGATTAGCATTTTGCATACGGAGCAGAGCTGCACTTTTGGGGATGTTTCCGTGCAGGTAGAGGGTTCTGGGTGCAAATCCAGGCCTGAAGTCCTTCTGCGTCAATCTGGCTTAGCTTGGTTATCCCTGTGGTTTCTCTCTGGATACTCTGGGTTCATCCTACAGCCCTGAAACAGACTTTAAGGTTGATTAGTCTTTTTGCAGTGTTCTTCTGTATCACTGCATCAGCAAAGCCTTCTTACTTTGGCCAATTTACAGCTGTGTGTACACTTTGTGATCACAGGTGGAGTCGCTCTTTAATATCTACGGGTCTGTCTGGCATGTCTGGGTTTTAAATGGAGATAATTGTGGGAAACGGGTCAGGTCTCAGTTCTGAAATCTAAGGGTCCGAGCGTCACAGCCGGGTTTAAATGGGGATACTTGCAGGTAATGGGTTGGGTCTCAGTTCTGAACTCTATGGGTGCGGGCGGTGTCAGGTTTTAAACGGGGATGATTACAGGTCAGGTCTTGGTTCTACGGGTGCAGCCGGATGCCGTTTTAACAAATCCAACCTGTGCAGGACTGTGGTCTGAGTGTGAACCGGTCCTTGGTGGAGCTTGTTTTGCTTAATAGAAGGAAATCAGTGTGCACATTTCTAAAAAAGAAAGAAAAAAGGTTCTGGTGTTGTTTGTGAAAGTAATGTGGTTAAGAACATGTTTATATGCTGAGGACAGCATGTTTTCTAGACCCTGGCCTCTCCCAGTAACCAATAACGACAAACCACAGCCCTACAGCAACCCTGCTCAAACAGAATATATATTCACATTTATAGCTGTCTTTTTAGTTCAGTTAAAAAATGTTATATTTCCTTTAAGGTGGACACCTGCAGCCCAGTCTGACCCTTCTAGTCATTCCTGAGAAGCTTTTTCCATGTTTACTGGTATTGAGAAGATTCATTTTTAATGATCTGAATCACATCTTTAGGTATGGAAGGCCTCCCTACCATCACCATAATCTGTAGCTCCCTCCATCAAACTCTCTGTCATGTTGGCTTTATTTCCAGCTGTCACTGTCACATCTTTACATATATGTAGAATATGTGGGTGTTTTTTTTTCTCGGCTTAAGTTTAAGTTTATAGTTATTATGTTTTAAAGGCTATTTAAGCATTGTTTCATTTTATTGATGTCACATTGGGCAGCAGATGTTTTATATAAACTTTATCGATCATTTTAGTGCTGACATCAGAACTTCTCTGGACAACAAACCAAGGTTAGTAAATTCATCATGGATCGTTTCCCTTAGATCTCACACGGTCGTCCAGTTCTTATCTTATCACAATCATTTCAGTTTAAGAACAGCTAGAGGTTTGTGGTTAAAATATGAGGTCCTTTACCAACACACTGTAATGGTTAACATGGAATAATCTAAATGATATATTTTTCTGCTCTTTTAAACTCTGTTAGCTGCTCTGACTGTGAGTCCCAGCAGATCTCAGTTCTTCAGAGGAGAATCTGTGTCTCTGAGCTGTGAGGAGAACAGTAGCTCTGCTGGATGGACTGTATGGAGGAACACAACCAAAGATACCAGAACTGGATGCAATGAATGGGGTCAATCCAATAACTCTTCATGTACCTTAAATCACATCCTCCAATTAGACAGTGGAGTTTATTGGTGTTGGTCCAGAGAGGGAGCAGCCAGCAGCAGCATCCAGCTCACTGTCACTGGTAAGATCAGACTGTGGAGTTAGTGTTGATGAAGCTGTGTGGAAATGGATGAAATGCTGTAGTTTGTCTCTGTGTTGAGGTGGATCAGTGATCCTGCAGAGTCCTGTCCTCCCTGTGATGGAGGGAGATGACGTCACTCTGAGCTGTCTAACAAAGACCACTCCCTCCAACCTCCCAGCTGCTTTCTATAAAGATGGCTCCCTCATCAGGACTGAGCCCAAAGGTCACATGACCCTCCACCATGTGACCAGCTCTGATCAAGGCCTCTACAGGTGTAACATCAGTGGTCATGGAGAGTCTCCATCCAGCTGGATCTCTGTTGAAGGTCAGCAGCTTCTCTCTTTGCTTCAACCTTCATTATGAGGAAAGAGGTTAATAATAACTCTCTGATCATTTCAGGAAAACCCAGCAGTACTCCTCCAGCCCCTACCATCATTCCTCCTCTGGACCCCCTCTTTCCTTTCTACAAGGTCATTCTTGTTGCATGTGTTGGTGTTCTGGTGATTTTTCTCCTTCTAATTCTCTCAGTAAGCTGCTCCTTCTGCGGGAAACCTAGAGGTAATCGATTCTCTGCATATTTTGCTCTGCAGCTTTTATTTATTTTGTCTGATTCTATCTATGTATAGCCCACCTCTGTCGTGCTGCATGTTTGTTTTATGTGGTTTTGTATTTCTAGTCAGGTGGGTTGGCACTCATTTGAAGCTTTTCTGGTGGCTGGGTGTTTGATTATGTGTCTGAGGTCAAAGTATGCAAAGTTTTGCTGCTATTTGGTTTCCTGTTCTCTGCACTAGTTTCAGTCTTCACCTCCGAGAGCTGTGCTTCGCTCTCAGCATGTTTGCTGTGTTGAACAACTCCTCCCACATTAAACCGCTTATTTATTGATATTGGAACAGTACATTTTTAAAAAATCATTCAGACTCAGTTACAGGGATTTTTCTGCCTGTTTGTAACATCGGGGGTAAAACAAAAGGCTGCTATGTCTTTATTTTGCGGTGTCAGGGTGGTGGGGGGACTAAATAACGTGCCTTCAAATTATTCTAGAAAGTCATTTTCTCTCAATTTTCCCACTGTATGTTACTTGGTGTTGCTCTGGTTCATAAAATCCACAAACTATTGTAAATATTTTGCTTGAGGTTGCTTTGAAGAGCAGAAAAAGTGCCTCAGCTTTTATTTGGGTGCTTTATCATTTATACTCTTTGTTTTTCATCTGCAGACGGTGACCCAGCAGAACTTTATTTATCAATGAGAAGAGCACCAGATGCTACTGAGACACCAGGTACATTTAACATTAGTCATATAGGCCTTGGCTGCAAATGCCAGTGTGTCATAAACCGGATACCTGTGTATTCAAACAGAGGTTTAGAGAATTGTCTTAATTAAACCGGGCTTACAGATTGCAATGAAAAATGGGCTATGACCAAATCTAGCACAGATATTTCTGTTTCATTATTTTTTTTTTATTTTGGCCTCAGTGACATTTTTAAAAAGCTCAGATTGCTCTGTGTCAGAGATTGCTTTATCCTGGGTTTATGGTTAGTGAGGTATGAAACTGCCTCTGCAAAGTGTGACAGTGTGCTCCTTGTCACTATTACACCATTTACACTACCCTTGAAAATCCGATCCATGCCAAGACCGGCCCGAGCTCTGATCAATTAACCAGGCCAAGCTCGGTTCTGACGACTATTTACACATCATGCTATCTCGGTTCGCGACCCCTGCCTCCTAGTGACGATCTGCGGTATTACTGCCAGTATTGAAGGAAGCAGTTGGTGGCGGTAATGCACCAAAAGTTGTTTGCCAACCATCATAAAACACAAGAAGAAGAAGACGAAGAAGGAGAAGGGAATCAAGCAAATCAAAATGGCGGCGCCCGTCACAATCAGAAAGTTAAGCTTGATTATTATTGCTGTACTTCGGTGTTTGCGAATTATTTAAAATGTTGCGTGGAGAAGATTTCGATTGTAGTTTATAGTTGTTCTTCTTCTGTTTTGTGTTAGTTGGCAAGCAACTTCCAGAGGGGCATTACCGCCAACTAAGGGAATGGAGTGTGAATCGGGATGTGCAGACAGACGGCGATAACGCGTTCTGCTCATGCGCTCTTGTTATCAGAGAACCGAGCCAGGGAAAAACCGAGCCGAGCCCACCTCTGGAACTGGTCTGTAGTTAGCACGGTTCGGTTGTGTGTGGCTTGGTTAAGTTTGGTTTGCTTTCCATTTACACGTCAAGTTATCTCAGTTACTGAGCTCCAACCGGTCTCAGCCGGGTTTTTCAAGGGTAGTGTAAATGGGGTATATGCCTCTTACTGATTATGCTACCAGACCACTTGGCCACAGGGATATCCCTTTGACTGACTGCATGAATTCCACCTGGGAGTCTGTAGGATCAAACCCCACCCGAGCCCTTCATACCCCATTTACACTACCGTTGAAAAACTGTGCCAAGACCGGTCCGAGCTCAGTAACTGAGATAACTTATCGTGTGTAAATGGAAAGCAAACTGAACTGAACCGGGCTAGACACAACCGAACCAATCTGTA